AGGATCTCAATAAAATTACAATTATGGGTGAGCTGAGTGCAATATTATGTCACAAGGATAAATCCTTTTGGATGTGGAGATAACATGCCATTAAAATCAAGGTTCATTAGGATTTAATTTTTCTACTGTACTAATGCAAGGGCTTTGCTCACTATTCAGAAGACTATCTGAATATTGTTATGAAATAATGTCAATTTACCAGGAATTAACATTGAGATTTAGTATTAATGCTATTAAATAATAAAACTTAGCAACACAGATGCTTTGTAAGTGTTATTGTATGTCAATGACCAAGGTTCAAACTAACCCACTTCCTGCCACTTGGCCCTATACTTAGCCATTGTATTAAAAAAAAAAAAAAAAGATTACAAGAAACACTCCCCTGTGCGCCTCCAGATCACTTATCAGTAGGAGAGCCACACTGGCCTTGAGGCTTTAGGAGCTCAGCCAGCACTCCTCCGCCAGCAGGGAGGGAGAAGAATGGTCATGGATTTGCACATCAGTGGATTCCACAGCCACACCCCTCAAAATCCTATTTCAGGGAAACAGAGGAAGCTTTTTATCCAGACAGGCTCCAGAAATCCTGCCATCCATTCTATAGCATATAGGTTCTCCTGCATATTACTTCCTACATGGCTGAGAAGGCAGTTTCTCTGCAGTGTAATACAAACTGCATTGAAACAGCCCTTGCTACATAAAGCAATAAAAATTGCACCAGCTTGCTTGAACTAATTTCGATGAAGTTTAAATAGTGCCCTTCCTTGCATATGTTGCACGACATAGGTGCAGGCATACATGGATCATCACTGTAACAACAGCACCGATAGACGCATCCTCCTCATGTTCTTGAACATCTGTAATGATCTGAACAAACTCTGCCAAAAACTAGAAGCCCTGCATCCTGGTAACAGTGTAACCAACAATATTTTGGAGAAATGCAAGATGCTCGTTAGCCCCAGCAACGACCTGAGCACCGTCCGAGCAAAGTAAGTCTATCATCAGCTTGCTTTTAGACATTTCTTATGGAAGGAAAAAAAAAAGAAAAGAAAAAACCTCACCTAAGCAACTTACAAACCTGGGAAACAATGAGAGGGGCATGGTCATCTGTTGATGTGAGATTTGTACTCCAGATCAGCACATGCATTCATAATTAGAGTCATGTGACTATGCCCTTAATCCCAATGAAAGGGCAAGGGCTCCCCAGTAATCCCATTGATCTTTGGGAGAATTTTCCGCAATATTATTCACTCTCCTCTCTCAAATGGTTAGATTTCTTTCTCCCAAGTTTGTGAATTTCAGTGCTAGTGAGTAGCCTACTACACTGTAGTCACATGCAATGGTAATACTGTACAGGTTTTTCCCAACCCACACTGTCATCAATTTATTTCAACTGGGCAAAGAGCAGAGGGAAGACATGTATTTTTACACGCTGGTGAAATTAAATCTGGGAGCAACCCTATTTGGGCCAGTGGTGAAGAACATTATTGGACAGGAATTATTTCAGCCACCCAGTCTAGTTCTGGTCATTTTGCTTATGCATTCTTAGTGGTGACTCTAAAAGCAGACTTGTGGGGGTCCCTGTGTGTTGCAGCCCCAGACACACTCGGATACATAACTGCTTCCCCCTGTCCCCACAGGTACCCTCATGATGTGGTGAATCACCTGAGCTGCGATGAAGCAAAGAACCACTATGGAGGTGTGGTGAGCCTCATACCCATAGTGCTGGACTGCATGAAATCATGGGTGGCCCACAGTGAGAAGCTGCCTCGGAACTTCCTGCAAAATGTGAGTGATGGAAGTGCTGTCTCTCAGAAGAGAACCCAGCAAGATGCATCAGCAAAGGCATCTGCTCCCCTAGGCCCACGTCCTGCTATCCTCACTACTGCTACTCAGACCGTGGCTAGTTACAAAGACTGTTTACGAGAGCAGAACAGCAAGCATGCTAAAAAACAGCACCTGAATGGCCCAGGGAGTAACACCTTGAAAAATGTCAATGGTGCCTGGAAACCACCTGGGAAACACTCCTTTTAAAAGGACCAAAGCGCATACATCTTTTACATAGAGGTGGCTAGTTATTAAATATGGTCTCCAGTATTCACTTCAGTTGTTCCCTCCTGTTTTGACCCACATTTTGACTATAGGCAGTCCCATAAGTCTCCAAAAGCAGATAAACCTAGATCTTATCAGATACTTTCTACTGAGATCCAAAGATCTAGGTTTATCTGCTTTATCAGATACTTTCTACTGAGATCCAAAGAAAGAGTGGGAATAGGGTAGAATATGTCTTATGTATTCCTCCTTGAAAGGTCTAGGGGTGAGGGCAGTGAATGGAGCCACGACTAATCAGATTCTAGTCCCTCACTAACACTTTGTCTTGGGCAAGTCACTTAAAGTCCAATTCTATGACTTCCTATCTGATTTTTTCAGGTTACAGGGTTTCATGTTGCTCTAATTTTTACCTCTATAAATAACCTGCTATCTGAAATCTAAGCTGGGTGCATTGCATACCACACCAACAATAGCTATAAAGACTGAGCCAAAAATCTGTCTTCAGTTGTAGCTGTTCAACACCGTCACCTTTGATGGGGTTGCATAGGTATAAGTGAGGACAGAATTTGGTACAGAGTTGAAATTTAATGAACAATTGACAGCATATGAATCATAATAGAACACAGCTCACTCTCCCAGAGGTGTTGGCTTCGCAGGGCTAACGAAGAAAAGAAAGTCTCGGGTAGCTGTGTTAGTCCGTAACAAAAAAGCCAACCAACCAACCAAACAAAAAAAAGCTTTAAAAACAAGTGGTCCTGTAGCACCATAGAGACTAACAAAAATATAGATTGTATCATGAGCTTTTCTGGGCTCAACCTACTTCTTCAGATGACAGAGGAAAAAAAAATATGTATCACTAGTATTGGTGAGCAAGACTCCAATCCAAGGAGCAGTTCTACTGAGGAAGAAGTGACCCTTTTCAGACACAACCTCTTTTCAGAGTAGAATTGCACTTTAAGTTTCTGTGCCTTTGCTTTCCCTTGGGTACATCTTACCTACCTCACAGAGGTGTTATGAGACCTAGGTCATTAACGGATGCAAGGCATTTGAGATCAGCTGATGGCATGTATGTAGAAAAGTGCAAAGTATTTTTAAACCATTGACTTCCTACAGAGTCTCTGAAGCCAGCTAGCTGCCTTTCCAGGTCTGGGTTATGAAAGCCAGATCACCTGGAGGCTCTCTTCCCATAGCTATCACTTAGAGCGGATTTGTATCATTTGTGATGCTATATGGAAGCATTATCAACTAAGATCGTAACAAGATTTTGATAGTCTGATGTATTTCCCTGTATCTGATTGCTTTTTTCCCCTCCCACAGGCAAGTTAACTCCTGTTCTTTTGCCTCCTGCCGAAGACACTCCTGAATAAAAGTTTCCCGTGCATGCAAGGCTGTGTTTGCTAAAATTATAGGGGTGCTATTACCAGAATGTGACCAGATTTTTGAGACAAGCATCAACGGAGATGGGAGGGTTGGGCAAATGAAGAAGTACAGGAGGGAATGGCAGTTCAGAAGGATTAGGAAGTATTTACAGGTGAACTTTCACCCCTTCTTTTACCTCGCTCCTCTCTGTATTTGTTCTTATTCTCTTCCCCCCACCACTTATACACATATCCATAAGATGTATAAGAGTCAATGTACAATCCCTCAGCTCTGAGATAGACAATTCTTTCACAAACTTTATAACTATTTTTAGGTAATCCCAGTCAATTGAAACTACTAAGGAATTCAAACAGGTGTAAGATTGTCGGGCTATTTAACAGACATAGTTGCTAGTAGGATTTTAGGTAGCAAAAAGCCACCCCTCCTGTGGATGCATTTGTTTAACAGCTGTATCACATAGGTGGCTTTAAAAAAAAATTAAAGTCATTAATACTATCTAAAACAAAAAACAGGACTATGTAACACTTTACAGACTAAGAAGATGGTTTCTTAGGTGATGAGCTTTCGTGGGCCAGACCCACATCCTCAGATCAAACAGTGGAAGAAAATTGTCACAACCATATATACCAAAGGATACAACTAAAAAAATGAACACATATGAAAAAGACAAATCAAATTTCAGAACAGAAGGAGGATGGGGGGGGCAGTATTTTAGATACCTCCATTAGGTTCCCTGTTTGGGGCTGTTTCTTGTTACTTTAAAGTGCTGCATAGTTCTTTCTTTTGTTTCAGCAAGATCAGACTAACACGGCTGCATCTCTATTACTATTCTCTCCCCTTAGATTTTCTAAGTGTCTATTCTTCCACTACATAAGAACATAAGAACGGACGTACTGGGTCAGACCAAAGGTCCATCTAGCCCAGTATCCTGTCTGCCGACAGTGGCCAGCACCACGGGCCCCAGAGAGGGCGGACCGAAGAAAATGATAAAGCCATTTTATCCCCTGGCTAATAGCCTTTTATGGACCTAACATCCATGAATTTATCCAGCTTCTCTTTAAACTCTATTATAGTCCTAGCCTTCACAGCCTCCTCTGGCAAGGAGTTCCACAGGTTGACAACACGCTGTGTGAAGAACTTTCTTTTTTTGTTTGTTTTAAATCTGCTACCTATTAATTTCATTTGGTGACCCCTAATTCTTGTTCTAGCTCTAGCCATTGATAGACCTGTACTCCATGGATTTATTTAGCTCTTTTTTGAACCCCATTACAGTCATGGCCTTCACAATACCTTCTGGCAAGGAGTTCCACAGGTCTTCTTTCAAAGGACCCTGCTTAAATATGCTGGTGTCATTTTGGCAAATGTGTGTACTGAAACTTCAGGTTACATCAGTATGATCAGTGATGTATAACATCGTATAAGAATGATGTCACAGTGACGTAATAGGAGCAACAAGTAAATGTTATGGTGTACAGGTTTGCTCAGGGCTGCTCTGATCTATGTGCTATTACTAATCAATGACTTATCAACAATTACTTTCACATCACTCCACACCTTCTCATTAAGAAATTCATACATTTCCCAGGAGAACAGGTGCTGTGGGACCTGCCAAATTTACAAGATTTTCACCTGTAGGATGGAGGGAGCTTTCATACATTCCTGACAGATGAAACATGCAAAATTTAAATTAAGTTTTGAGTTTTCAACATCTTACACAGGAATATAAGACTGTAAGGATCCACTTGAACCACTGATTCCAGTTTTCTACTACTACATGTAACCACATCATACAATCCTGTTTTTAGTTAATTGCTCCTATCCTCTGTTTATTCGGAAGGAGGGTAAGAAGGGAGGGAAAGAAGGAAGGAAGTGTGAAGTGTGAATTAATTTTAAAAGGCTTTTTAGCTGGCTATTCCCAATCCCAAGCAGTTCATGAGCACTGCATAAATGCCTAGTGTCTCTTCACTGTTCATTGTAAGATGGATCGGATATCTGTAGACAATGTGCCAAGGTACAGTAGATGCATGCATGCTCATTGCTTTTCCTTGAGATGTGAGCCAAACTCAGCTTTGAACAAACCATCAAAGTGGACAAATAGCTGGTACTGAATTACTCATGTCTACAGCTGCTAACACCAAAGGCTAAGTGAGGGTCATCAAATCTTTGCCTGCTAATGATGTGTATGTTCTATTTTTTAAACAAGACTGTAACTTGGAGGGCACCAGACCTTATGTTGCAATGACAACTGTTCTTAGTTGTTCCTTCTTTCTAGTCAAAAGGAACATTTGTGTTCATTGCCCTCTTTTGCACTTAATTCCTCTTTTTCACTACATACACTCCTCTCCCATGGCCTTTGCTTTATGGAAGCAATGAGTACAGCATGTTTAGTTTGGAGGTTATTTTCTTTCTTATTGTGTATGGTGAAGTATCACTCTTCATTAGGCTTTAACTTGGCCTCGGTTTCTCCAGTATCCATCAGCTTGAGGGGAAAAAAGAGCAAGGCTTCTTTCCTTTTCTTTCTTTTGGCTTTTGAATTATTGTCATTAGCTGACTTCTGAGAAAGTGAGCAAGTCAGATTTCTGATGAAAGAGGCTTTTAATTTGTGAGATCTCTTGGAGGAAGATATTATTGGGTCTGAACTTGATAGCATGTTTTTCGTCCCGATTATGACTCACTCTGACATTGGGAATGTATCAGTGTGATATTTCAAGAGAGGAAAAACAAAAACATCCCATGTTTTATGTTCTACTTTCAACCAAATTTGGTTCAATCCTGAAAAAATCCCCACCATAGCCGGTGAAGATACCTGAAAGGTCACAATGACCACTGGTGTTATGACACTGAGTCAACATGGATTAAACAATCAACAGGCTGAGTGATCCAGAAATAACCCTTATGGGCCTATTAGAAGAATGATGAAATGGTAAACAGGGCCAGTCTTTGTAGATAATTAGCAAAGCATGCTAAATAGAATAGAGTCTTTGAATGGCAGGCCTCTACTGTTAGAGAATCAGGAAATAGATACTAATTATATTTGTCTGTTTATCTATATCTTGTTAGAAATTTAGCAATGTGATCCAATTAGCTTATAGATGCTAAAATTTGGATCCTGTCTATGATGTTTCATTACTGCAGTCTCTTGATTCAGAGATCAAAAGGAGATATTGTCAAATAAATGGATCTTGTCCTCTAATACTATTCTTTTCATTTTTCTTTGAAATTTGTAGGAAACTATCTATGAGCTATTTACTTAATCGTGGAACAAGGTGTACAGCTAGTTCGGATTAGGAAGCCTAATCCGAACTAGCTAGTTCGTGCCGCGTGTAGCCGCGCGGCACTCA